GACGTGACATGTTCGTACGAACCCTTTGTACGAACAAAAGTAAGAGAAATTTAGGATAAGAATACGAACATGTTCTTGCATGAGGCCCATTAAATCTAAAGAAGCAGCAGATGGTGTTGAATCACAGTCTCCCATCCTGAGCAGCACATGGTGACAGAGGAGAGGAAAAACTCTCTTTAACAGGAAGAAACCTCCAGCAGAACCAGAACCAGGCTCAGGACAGGCGGCCTCAACCAGCTGGGTTTCAGAGGATGGGAAGGAGATTATATCCTGACACAATATTCAGACTTATGGGGTCATTTGTTTTAGACTCTACTGTCTCTTGGCCTTACATTTATGGAAAAAAGAAGGGAAAAAGCCATTCTTTAGCTGATGCAAATGATCAAAATGTAAAAAAAACGGCTGAAAATTAAGGAAACTTAAAATCTGCACTCTACATTTAAATTCAAGCCCACATAATACTAAAAATAAAAAAAACATGACACATAAGCCTCTTCAAGTAGTCGAAATTAAACTGACAACTATTTTATTATTCTGAAAATAAAATTACACTGTTAGTGACAACTTTTACCAAAATAAAAAAAGTCAATTTTCTTATTTAAAAACGAGGCTTCTCTCCTCACACAGAAACTGATTCGAATTAAATCAAATTTTGACTCCAGCGAAAATTCACTCTTCTAGTTTGGGAGAAAAAAAATTGTTTAATTACCAATCATGGCTTTTAGACTGGAACCGTGGGCTTAAAAAAAAGGGAGAAAAAAAACCAAACTGCAAAGAGATTGAGCCCTCATGATCAATGTCTGCAGCAGCTGTCATTACGCTGATGAGTTTTTATTAAAGTCATCCATCATCAGCGTAATCAATCCAGATAAAACATGTAGAGTCTGCTCAGGAGGACCCACTCCTGTGTTCTGACAAAGCTAATGGGAGAGGATGACATCATCGGTGTTTATTTGTTTACCGTTTGCGATCACTCACCGAGCACGCCGAGGCGGTAGTTCATGGTCACCACGATCACGTTGCCGTAGGCGGCGAGGACGCTGGCGTCGAACATGTTCCCCGTGCCTTCCATGTAGGAGCCGCCGTGGATAAACAGCATGACGGGTTTCTTCCTGCGGTCACGGATGTCTACGCACACACACAGCACAAAGTAAGGAATCTAAAGCAGGGTAAAAAAGTCAATAAATGTGTTTACATCTCTCATATTCTGTTTGATCAAACTCAGTGTTCGGCTTTAATATATTGAATAAACAGTAAATTGTTCAGCTGCATGAAAACAAAGAAAACCGCGCTCCCTCCCTGCAGATGATAGATTTAGAAAAGAAGCTTTATGTAATTTTGGCTTCAATCAAGGAGAAAAACAATGTGTTTCCTGGTGATTAAAGTAATAACACCTGCAGAAAATCATTTGATATGAGTTCTAACATGAACATAAACACTTTTGAGGCTTTTCTTTCACAATAAAGGTGAAGCAGTTCTGATCACGAAGCACGAGGAACTTCACGGTAAATCGATCTTTCCTGCACTGGATCAGAGTTTTAAACGTGAGCCGAACACTGAGACAAGAATTTGATACGACTGCGGAAACTATGACTGAATCTAACCTAAAACAAAGAGGTGCTCATTTTTCTGCAGTCTGGGATTATAATAAAGAAACTCAACAATAAAAAAACAACAACAAAAAAACTCAAATATCGGAACTTCTTTCTGGAGAAAAGTATTCTGCGTGGAATCAGCAGATAATAAAAAAAGCCACTGGCACTCAAGACATCAATTCAGGAATAAATTTCCCTAATTTCAGCACTTTATTTTGCACATTAGAGCTCGGGGCACCCATAAATACAAAGTGCAAACTGCTGCCAGCTTCGCGGACAGCCAGGACAAACTATTTCTGGGTCGGTTCTCCCATGAGGAATCACAGGAAAACAGAAGGTTTTATTAATGCTATCAGTTCTGGACCAGCACAAATCATCAGTTGTTGCCTTGAGCTAAAACGTCCACAGATAACACAAATGTCTCATAGAAATGTCAGGTTCTATCAGGGAGGAAAAGTTAAGCTTTAGGCAGGGTTCTTAGAATATTTACTTTAGTTTTTACTTCATCTTTGTAGAATTTATCAATTCTTTCTTTATCTGCTTCTAAAGCATGCAAAATGTGATTATTATTATTATTTTGCACATTTTTTGGCACGTATGTCATTCCTGTATTTTTGTGCTATCTGTATGTTATATATTAAAATGTTCAGCTCCTTTAGGACATTCCTTCTATGACTTTTCGTACTTCAGTACTTTATACTTTTTGAGTTATTTAGCTTTTTTCTGCCATGTTTCCCTGATTGAAAATGAATGGAGCTGTCATCATAAAAACGCTTCAAAATATAAATCTTTACTGTACTTTTTATCTTTTGTCATAGTTCTGTTTCTGTTTCCAACTTATTTGTGTTAATTTCACCGTCCTTCAGCTTCTATTTCGCTTTTAGTTTTGATGTTTTTTAACTACTATACTGGCCTTCCGTGCTTTCATTTTACCAGGTCATGTTTGTAAATAAGTGGTTCTCAAACAGTTTACCTGGATAAATAAAGGTTAAATAAGTAAAATAAAAATTTTACTTATTTCATCTTTTTGTTCTCCTTTAGCTATTTTTTTTAGCTCATTTCAGCTGTTTTTTGTGTTTTTAGCTACTTTTTTAGCTAATTTGAGCTTTCCATTTAGTAACATTAAACAACTATAAATAACAAATAAATAAATTCAAGTGATGAGTTCAGCTTTTTACTGCTTAATTCAGCAAAAGTGCTGATTTCGTTTCTTTCCGCTCATTTCAGCTGTTTTTTGTGTTTTAGCTACTTTTTTTAGCTAATTTGAGCTTTCCTTTTAGTTAAGTAAAAACAACTATAAAATAATAAATAAACAAATAAATTGATTTAAGTGGTAAGTTCACCTTTTTACTGCTTAATTCAGCAAAAGTGCTGATTCTGTTTTTTTTCTGCTAATTTCAGCTACTTTTTAAGCGACTTTTGGCTACTTCCAGCCAAACATTTCAGCATTAAGCATTCACACTGCATTTTCACAGGAAATGTCAATTCTCTAGTTTTTCATTCATTCTAGAAACACAAAAACTGTGAAAAAAAAATTAAATAAGATGTTATTAATGGTTTAAAGAGGTCCTGATCTGCTGTTAATCTGTTTTCACACATATAATCTTAAACTGAAGAGATGAAGAAATCCCTCCCCTGCCTGCTCAGCTGCCTCTGCTCCTATTTGCAGAGTAGTTTTTTTGTGCGATGCTCGGGTGTTTTCTGTTTTTGTATAAACAGGATCAAAGCTCTTTTTTAAACTCATCCTTCCTATGTGTGTGTATTCTAAACTGCAAGGTAGCGCAGGGCCCTGGACATTCCTTCCCCCGTGTCTGTCATGTGTGTGTGTTTCTCCGGATGGATGTTCAAAACTGCAAATTTCATTCTGCATTGCATCTGATGTTGTGTATGAATGACAATAAACGACTCTTGATTGATTGAAATGTCAGAGCAACACAAACCAGACAGTTTCAACTAAAGAAATTGATCTTTGAACACTTCTCTGCACAGTCTATTTATTTTGCTGAAGTTACAGCTGGTAAAACAAGTATTGAACACGTCATCATTTTTCTCAGTAAATATATTACTAGAGGTGCTAATGACATGAAATTTTCACCAGATGT